CATTGAATGAGTGTATTTAGATCATTCACCGAATTCAAATCCCTCAAAATCATCCCAATATCTTTGTTACCTATATTTCTGTTCTATATTTAAATTCCCTGATTGGCCTTGCATATATACACACTATTTTACATTTTTAAGCAAATCTTACTCCTTAATAAAGTATTTAAATGTCTTTAAACTAACACTATTTTTTAATATTTATTCTTATTTAATAGGGTGTTTCATTTTAAAAAAAATATAAAGTAATTTATTTATTATGGGTACTTTTGAAAAAAAAATACATTAATTATATCTCAAAACACTAAAAATATCTTACATTTTTTAACATCTAACCTCTCAAAAAAAATTTTAAAAAAAGGGAGTATATATCAAGTATTGGGCCCGCGCTTGGGCTTTCTCCTCGAGTAAGTGAACTGAGGCCGATTTCCGTCTTAACGTTTTAACAGATCATTTAAACTTGTCATTCTATATCTTTTCAACATCTCTTTACTTGAGATTTCTTATTAGAAGGGTGTAAATTAAAAGTCAGACATTAGTAATATTGTGGTGATTAGAATTCAACGCTGTAGTTCAAACTACATAAGACCATTTCCATATTTAGTTGTGAGGGATCGATTTTGATTTAACACACACACACACCCCCCCCCCCTTTTTGGGAAAATATAACTATAGAGGATTTACAATGACCCACTGATCTGTTATTCTTCCTCATCGCACTCTTTTGTATAAAGCTTCACATTTCATCCTTGCTACTGATATTTTCATCTATACTTCCGTTTCTATTTCCAATTTCCGAGAGATTTTTATGCTTGCGTGCATGTATATGTATTATGTGTGTATCTATGGATGAAATAACACAAGAAAATTGTTATAATGACAACAGAATAGAATTTATTAATTCGTGGAATGTTATTGTATTATCAATGACAAATTGAACCCATAAGAGGAGAAGAACATAAACCCTCAAATATTTTCTTGCCTTCATATGAACTAGGACCAATTTTTAAGGTATGAGTGAATTAATGAAAGAAAAAATTGAAGTTCTTGTTGAGATATTCTTAAACTTCTTGCCTGTGGGGCTGAATTAGAAATCATTTATGCATGATTACTTGCATTAATATTTTGTGCCAACTTTTTCACCAGTGGATCAAACATCATTGTGTTGTGAGTTAGCTTATTCTTTGTTATTAGTTGAGTGTTCTTTCTTCTAGTTGTAAAACCTTCCTCCAAATTGTTCAACAACAATGAAATATGTACTCTTTTTTTTTTTTGGATGCTGAATTTGTTCCTAAGCTAATGGAACTTACTTCAGTAAGTCAATGCAATATTTTAATTTCCTGTTCAAGACACGATTCACTAATTTATAAAATTACTTCCTGTTGAACTTCATTTTAAGTAAGTTTATTAATTCACTTTTTAGCTTTCTATTAGCTTTTGTTCCATAGCTTCTGGCTTATGAGAATATTCTTCTATTGGAATTATCTAGCGTGGAACTTTGCATCATTATTTGGGGACTCCCATATAATCCCTTGGGTCGCTCTTGGTAATTAGCATTTAGGACTCCCATATTTGCAATTTTTTCTATCAATATTTGCTAAGTACTCTACTTATCTTCCTTTGTAATGTTTTGGGAGCTAATAGTTATTAAATTTGTCTTCTAACTTCTGAGACTGAGACCTAATAACTGTCATTCTCTTTATATTTTACCTAACTAGAATGTCACCATCTCATTAATTAATTAAGAAGATGGGCATTATTGGCAACCCTGATTGAACTGTTGAAAATAGATTAGGCATTATATCTTCAGTAGATTATTGTGAAAAGCAGTGTCATTATTCTAGGAACAAGACTCACATCTCTCTTTTATCAGTTTATGATTGAAGATACCCGAACGGATCTGTCTTTTGTTTTGGAGAAGATTACTTTGAAGCGGTCCAAAATTTGTTAGTTATTAAGAAGGCTGAGAGTAGCTCCTGTTTCCTTAATTTTGTCTCTTTTACTTTTTACACAACACTTTTCCATATACCAAACGTGCACTAAAGTTCTTTTCCTTTCTTTCTTTCTTTCTTTCTTTCTTTTGAGTATATTATGTCAATTTTGTTAGTAAAATTAGGAAATAATAGTTGTTCTGTTGTTTTCTTGTGAGTATAAGTACAGGGTCTTGAAGAAAGTGAAGAAGTCTTGTCCTAATAATCAGAAGTGCTACATTCAACCATCACAATATTTACTTCTAATGCTTTTTTGACTCTTTCAATCAGTTAGAGGTTTTATAGATAGACTTAGTACAGGACCAATTTTGAAGGTCCAAGTGAATGAAAGAAAAACAATTAGAAGTCCTTGTTGAAGTTTTCTGTATCTTCCTGCCTTTGGGTGGAGTTAGAAATTATTTATGCATGTTGCTGCTTCCTTTCTTTGCAATAAGATAATAACTTTGACTTGAACCCTTTTGTGCAGGTTCTGGATTTTGCTTCCTTTCCGAAAGTAGAATATGATGTACCCATATTTTGCGCTAACTTTTTCGCTAGTGGCAGATCAAACATAACTGTGTTGTGAGCTAGCATATCCTCTGTTGCTGAGTGTGCCTTTTCTAGTTGTAAAACCTTCCTCCAATTTGTTGTGCAATAATGATTTTTTTTACTATTTTCGTGGTCGATGAATTTTTTCCAAAGCTATGGAACGAACTTCAAGTGAATGCACTAGCACCATTTTCTTGTTCAAGCATAGTTCACTAATTTATAAAATACACAGACACACATACACACAAGGCAATGCTTCTGGCTTTCAAGAGGCCAAACCTCCTTTTGATGGTCGGCAATGAGAATTTGACACTTTGCTTCCCCTTTATTTTTTGCTCCGATGGCACTGGCAATAATGCAAGAGTTCTCCACTTTTCCTTTCATAACTTCTGAGTTCAAACATCAAGTGCTAACTGTGGAGCATAAAATTAAAATTACAGGGACCTTAACCCACTGCATGATAATATTAATCAGCAGGATTACAAGGAAAAGTATTTTAAAAGCTTAATTCCCTTGGCCTCAAATATTCTGAGGTAACTACAAAATATATTGGTTTGGCATATTTTTCAAGTTCATCTTTGAATCTGCTTAACTTTAACAGTTCTTTGATTTCTTTCTATAGAGATCTAGAATTCTTGACAGAACACAAATTTCATGCAGCACTTACCATGGGGAGGGAAGCTCACAAGCAAGTCCCTACAATTTTTTTTTTCACCCATTGTCATATGGACAAATTTCTTCAACTCCAGAAAACCATGATATTCTGTATTTTGCATTGCAGGATTACTACAGGGTATTAATGCTATGATCGTTTTCCACTATACTATATCTCAATTTTGCGATACTTCAAGATCAAAATTTCAGTAGCTTTCTGAATATTTTACCCATTAAACTATTAAATTTTTCTATATGACCCTTAATCTGCAGGCATTGCTGGAATTAATAGGCAAAGCAGTTGAGGAGACAGATGCATCTCAGATTTCCTGCAATCGTGAAGCACAACATAGATATCTAGCATGGAGAACAGAAAAGGTATTGGGATATGTTGCTACTCATACGGTCATATGATTGGTCCTTTGACCATAGTAACCTCTACGCTTGCAATAGAATTAAAGGATATTCTAACTTGCATCTTCCCAGAGCCTGTGGACAGAGAGTTCTCTAGCATTTCTAGTCTTCCCCCAACTTATAGTTGATTATTAATCTGATCATATCCCGTTATTCATATGCTGCTTGAATTAACCAAACCATTATTTCAGTGATGCATTTTCTAGTTGTTAATATTGTCAACAAATTGTTTTTAAACTGAAGGCCTATAAAAAAGGAGAGTGATTTACAAGGATCACAAATAATGGTCTCCAAGGACATTTTAATTAAGCCTAGAAGATTCACTTTAGATTTTGCATTTCTTCAACGTCATCAGTTTAGACTGATATTTTTATCAAGCGTGTTAGTCATGCTCATGACGTTCTTATCAATGGCTTAGAAGATTTGGATAACTCATGCTAGAGCATCGGAAAACTGCTTTTCAGAATTCAAATCAGGATTCTGTTGATGCTAACTTTTGGAGGTGAATTTTATGTTTACTTGGCACTGTTGGACGCGACTTAGACTTTGAGTTCACATTATTATATTTGAAACATATCACTTATGGGCTTGGCTCATGGAACTTTGGGAAAGTAGGATCCAGGTCAAGGGCTTTGGAAGAAGCTGACTGGGGACACACTTGCAGAGGTATCCATGATATGAGATCAGTACTTTTCCTGAATAAAGTTAAAAGTGTATTTTCAAATTTCATGCCTTGTATCCTATAGGACTTGCTGAGAAACATTCTATTCAATGGCGTTGATGAACTTGGAAGCAAAACATTGGTAATGAGTACAAATCTAAAAGAAAAACCTATCCCAAAGTACTAGCTTGTTGAATGGAAAAGCTTTTTAAATTTATAAACCTCACATTACTTGTAAGATTCTCCGATGTGGACTCGTGACAATACCACCCCATCAAGAATCGACATGCATGGTGACTTCATTTTATGACACTTCACTTAGCCTCTTACTAATCAAAACCCTCTGTGGGTAGTCCTTTTCCATGACACCAACCTTTCAATAAAAGCACTAATGTGAGGAGTATAAATTCAAAGGGAGAGTACTAGCTTGTTAGGTGAAAAAGCTTTTTAAACTTAAAAACCCACACCATTTTTCCAATGGGGGACTTGTGACAACGTTTCTTGATTACTTTCTAGAATTCGTTTGCAAGAATGTCACCGTAAATAAAATACACAGCATTGTCGTAAAGTCTTGTGAAAATTGCCCTTGGGATGCAAGAGGAGAATTGCTATTTTCTTTTCATCTCCTCTATTGAATCTCTTAAACCCTTTTTTCTTCTCAATTTTGGCTTCCCATCATCTGATTTATTTTGTTCTTTGATCTTCAATGTTATATTTATTACTGCAAAAGTAATTGCTTAGTGGATCATGGGTATCAATCAACCACGAACTGGTTGAAGAATCAAAGCCTTAATCTAAGTAGCTAGAATTACCGTCTTTAATGTTGTCGTTACATCTTAGAAAAAGGACAAAAAAGGCCCCTTGGAGCTTTAGCAAAGGTCATGAATCCAACAACCTCGAATCTTATTGCTGGCCAGCATATGTACTTTGTATCAACCTAGTGCTGGTGAAAAAAAAAAAAAATTATGCAGAAATTAGTCAACTATATTATCAACTTCTGTATACAGAGGTATGTATAGCTGTTATGTGTGTGCATATTCTATCATGGTTGTTTTATACATATAATGTCATGCCCCAGTTCTAAGGATATAACTGACATAGAATATGAGATAGATCCACATTCTATAAATCTTAATTAACCAAAAATTAAGTTAAAACATTGATATATAATTTATAAAGTTGTAAGGTCTTAAATATTTTGTAGAAATTTTGACAGAATCTCTCCTATAATTTGAACCTTCAAAATTTTTACAATAGCAAACCTATCAGCCAATCCAGGGAAACTAGTTCCACACCAACAGCTTACATATCAGTACAATAAAACTAGGATCTAATTACAACATATGTGGAGCGCTAAACTATAATTGTATAATATAATGCATATTTGCATCAAACTAAATGTCAATATGCTTCCACAAACCAAAAAGCAACGGTGCCATCAATGATTAGCAAGAGGTGCAAAGTCAATTACAATATTTGAGATCAAAAAAATTTTTAGTGAGTAGCGTTTCAATCAAAATTATAATTTAAAAAAATTATGAAGATAGTAACTAATAAATTTAATTCAAAATGACATAAAAAATGAAACATATATTTAAGCTAACAACAAATAACGAGTTTTCTTAATGATATAACTGTGAATTAAATAATGTGATTAGAATAACATAAATATTTAAAATTTGCACAGCTCATAAAATATAAAAATTTTCAATAATAGTACAACTTGATAAAATACTTTTGGAGAATTAATAGAGAAATAATAACTTAAATTTAAATATAAAAAGGCTTTATCAGAACGAATAACAAGCGTGGACACATAGCCCACAAAGGTAAATAACCAATTAAGCATAGACACATAATTTATGAGGGTAAGTAACCTGTCAAGAGCGGTTGAAAGCCATGAAACAAGTGCGACAAGAGCCACAAATCAAGCGCAAGCATAAAGCCTACGAAAACAAGTGTGAGTACGATACTCACGAATAACTATTCTTCCGTTCCATGTGCGTTGGCCATCGCATGAGGCTAGCAACTCCTACAAGTACCTTACTAGTTAGGTGTACCATGGCGCGTCAAGGGCTAATAGAACTATCATTAGCATTCAGCATTCTAAATTCAATTCCCTTTATTAAAATCAAGTGTATGGAGCAAGAAAATTAGTTTCCAAAATTCTCACTTTCAAATATTTTTAACTATCATATTCTCCATAACAAATCATTGCAATGAAATTGTTTTATCAATGTATAATTAAATAATTAAACTAATTATGAAAAATAATACCATTTGTCGTATATCTATTTCAATCATTACTTATTAATAATATAAATCATTAGTAAAATTCAAGACATTGTCTTTAATAAAACAATTATTATGAAAATAGGATAAACAACATTATTTATACAATTTATAAAGCAATAATAATAAAATTTAAATCAAGAAATTTTTATAAGTACTTTGTTGGAAATTTATTTGGAACACCACCTATTCATTTAAGAGTTTTTCAAAAATTTTAAAATTTACTTTTTACTTTTCACTTTAATTTTAGTGATGCTCTTAATTTTCAGGCAAAAATCACAATCCTAAAGTCATTTATTAAGTAATTTTTCAACACTTGAAAAACATTCAAATTTGATTCCCAAACAACATCACAACCTAACATATACAATCCATAAATTAATTATCAATTAACTAATTTATTAACAACCCAACTAAAACAGGAAAAAAATATTTCCACTTCTTTTTCATACCTTCCTAAAACTTAATGAATGACACAACCATAATTTATTTCAACAAAATCTACCTTAAGTACTTTAGAATTCTAATTTAATGACTCAGATCACTACTTGTGCATGTTCTATCAAACTAATAATATGGAAATTGAAGAACTTACATTCTTCCAAATTCTCCACTTACACATCTCAAGCTTAGAATCACATTACCTATAGGCACAAACAATCATACATATACTTCACTAAACCTCTATACAAAAATTAACCATTTAAATTCTACCAAATTGCTCTTTTAAACATTTTAACAATCCAAATATACTTGAGTCAAATAAGCTTATTTGACACATCTTAATTCACTCTCCTTGTGACCCATCCTCAATCACAAATCATAATAAATTATATCAATTATTTTTATGCTTCATTTAAATTTAATAAAATAATACACAGGTATTCTATATAATCCTTTCTCTCATCTTGGTATCTTTAAATTTTAATCAATAGCCCAAGCTGCTTCTCACACATATCTTGCTCCAAACTATATTATACCAATTTAGCAACATTATTTTTATAAATTTCTTCTTTCAAGTATTTTCACAAACATCTTGAGTGCATCTCAATTCAGCTCACAAATGATCATCAAACCATTTAATTAACTTCCAACATTAATTCTATCCTTAACATTCAGCCCATCACCAACTAAAGATAACGCATAACATCAACCAAAACACAATTCAATTTCCTCAAAATTAAGACAGCAATTATGAGGAGTAGGGACGTATTCTTCAGCCAAGGGAGAAGGAGGATTCATGTAGCTATTGAAACCGAAAGAGAAGAAGAAAGAATCAATATTTTACCTCCAACCAGAGTGTAGTGGAGCTGCCACACACTTTAGCTCATGGACCACATCAAAGAATGGAAGAGAAGCTTTAGCGCATGGCTGCTCAACAAGGAGGAAGAGAAGCAGAAATTTCATATCAGAAAAAGGAAGGATTGAGCCTACTATGCACACATACAGGAATGCCCAGCTGTTGAGGAGAAGAAAAGAACAGAGACGAACACACACGCACCTCTGTCAGGATGCAATAGCGAAGAAACAGAGAAGAGATTCAGCTACAGAACTTTACAGGAACTGACGAACAGCAGTGGGAAGGAGTGGACGAACTGCCGGCGGGCGGGAAGAAGAACAAGTTGAAGGTGAAGAGGAAGAGTTCGACGGTGAAGAGAGAAGGGAAGAAGAATGTCGGTGAAGAAAAATGAGAAGTGGGAATGCTCTGTTTTTCCGCACGAAATAGAAGATAAATCTGATCATGAAAATAACTGCAAAAGTTACAAGAAATGGCACAAGAAAAATTACATGAAAGGCACAAAAATTTCTTATAATTTAAAACGAAATAAAACAAAACATTTGCTTAATAGAATTTGAATTCTGAACCTTCAAAAAAAATTATTAATATATATTCTAATAAACTACCGCTTTCCAATCTCCACTAGATATAAACTAATTTAATTTAAATAAAATATTTATTAGGAAAAAAAATTTATTTAATTTAAGATTTAAGATCATTACATAAAACACACCTAATAATAAAAAATTTATTAGTAAGAAAATATGCAAAATAACAAGAGTTAAGGGTTAGAAATAAAAAGAACTACATTCAATCCAAACACTTTTAAGAAGTACTCATACCAACGAAATACTGTCTGTGCCTCATCTTTTGGAAGTCCACTTGCTATGGTTTTGTAAAATGATTCAGTAAACATCAGAGATTTAAGCAATTATACTGAAAGAAACAAAACATGTACCAATAAACTTAGACTAGAAATTAGTATACCTTCACAAATCCTACATCTCCCTTAAACATGTGATTGTACAGATGATCAAATTTGGCATTTGATAGACTATTGAAACTAAATTATGTCATACAAGTACCACCAAAACTAAACAACACGCGAAAAATAAGAAAAAAATTTGTAAGATATGAAAACAAATCCAATACTATAAATAAACAATGCCAATGGAAACAAAGAATTAAGGAAATACAATACTTATATGAATTGAAAGATTAGATTAAATTTATACATTAAACAAATATTAAATAGCCATCAAACAAGGAATAATATAAAATATAAACTTTCAATTAAAATAAAGATGTGTGTCATACGTACCTTGAAGCATTTGTTCTTCTTATTTTGTGCACTTTGTTAGGTGGCTTGGCGTTTTGGGCTAACTATGATTCCATCATTGATGCCGCTACAACACTCATTCCATGTTTCAACATCTTCTTTACACACCACACGCCATCCACACTTCCTTACTTTACACACAGGTGGACTTCCAGTAGAAAACATCATTTGAAGTTTGTTTACAACTAAAGAGGAACAACGACTATATATAATAAAGAGTTGATGACTCCATTTTAATTGTATCACAATTGCACAGAAACCAAACGTATTTGGAAATTCATCATTAGGTAATCTGCAAATCCACCAAACAATATCAGTCTCTTTGTCATATGCCAAATCTTTTTCTATCACTAAACATGTGGCTATGCCCCACCATTCACTTCTTCGACAATGATCAGGTATGCTTACTATGAATGACACATTGGGATGATCCCATTCTTTCTCACAAAAGTAGTCTTGATTATGAAACCATGATGCCACTTCACTACCAGGAATCAATAATTGGCGAGCGGGTTGCATGAAGAAGTTAGGCTGTGACAAAGCAAATCGTAAGTCTTAGAAGTATAATAATTAATGTGTAAGAAATGGAAAATATATGCAGATCAAATATATATATTCAATGTCCAAAAAAATAGAAACTCATGCAATTTTTAAACAAAAAAAAAACTCACAATTTGTGAATCCCATGTAACAATTCCAGACAGCCTACTTAAATGGAACAATTTATATCCTTCAGAATCATGTGATATTGAGACGTCATTGATATTATGAACCTATAAGGGAAAAAATTGGCTATATTAAAGAAGTATAATGATTAATAATGTGAAAGAACAAGTAAAGACAGATAAAATAAACCTGAGATTGGAATGATTCAGTGAACTCCCATAGTTTCTGCGAACATATGTAATGTTCCATTGATGGACTACCACTTGCGAGAATGACTGATAGATTTGACGGAAGTTGTGGCAAGGACTTAAGCATTGGGCAATCAAAGAGACCAATACACCGAAGCTTCGAAAGTTTGGAAATGAGGCCAGATGGTAAGTCAATGAAATTTTTTCCACTTAAATTTAATGATGCCAATGATGTAAAGCTGCTAATGTCATCAGGAAGTGATCCATCATAGAGATTGCAAGACTCTAAATTTAATTCGGTCAAGGATGAAAAAGAAGAGGACAAGAAAAGATTTATTGAGCTTGAAGGCCTTTGAAGCCGAAACGCCTTCCAGGGAAGGGAGAAGCAATTCCTTGACGTTGAAGAATGTGCTTGACCATTGTATTCACAAATTGATTGTGCCTCTTCAGAAATTTGACGACCCACTTCAAGCACTTCCAACGCCCCATTTTCATTCAAATCCTTTGGCATCCTTGAAAGCTTTGACCAACCAGAAATTTTGATAGTCTTCCTAGCTATCAATTTACAAACATTGTTTGGAAGGCAAACCAGATTTTTGCAGCCTGACAAAGTTAATTCAGCAAGACCAGTCAAATTGCCCAGTGATTCAGGTAGTTTGGATATAGCAGTGTAATCTAAATCAAGGTTAGAGAGACATTTCATATCCTTTCCAAACTCAGGAAGTTTTCTAATTTTTGAACAACCGGATAGAACAAAAGTCTGTAAGCGATCCATCTCCAATTTTTTGGGAAGGGTTTTAACTTTTGTGCAGCCTTTCAAATTAACAATAACAAGATTCTTGTGTTGCCCAAGAGACTGGTGAATTTCAACAAGGTTAGAACACCCTTTGAGAATCAATCTTTCAAGATTAGGAATTCCATCAAAATCTGGGGTTTTGATGAGGTATTTGGAATGAGATAAATCAATGGACATCAGCTTTTGTAGAGACTTGAAAAGAAAAAAAGAAACAAGGAAACATTAAGTCCTCAAAACCAAAAGCTAGTTATAATAATAAGTGTATTAAATTATGGACAAGCAATTAAAATGGAAGGAACATAATTACCTGTGCTCCTCTCCATAGTTCTTTTAACCTGCTATGTTGCATTTTTAGATGAACAAGTTCATCAAGTTGAGTATGTCTGGGCAGAGAATCTAAAGAATACCCCTCCCATTCAAAAACTCTCAATTCATTGGGAAGAGATTTAAGTCCACGAGGAAGATTCAATAGGCAACGAGAAACATATGATGAGCAACTTGAAATAATAAGTAACTTGAGATTACTCATTTTCGAGAAGGCTTCAGGATCCCAAAGTGCATCTGATGATTTTTCTAATGTTAGAGCTATACCTCGAATTGCTCCTGTCCCCTATAAAATAATAAGTCAAGTTAATAATGTAACAAATTCATGGAATGAAATATTAAATGATGAGTGGACCGATGTTTTAAAAGCCAAACTGGATGTTAAATTGGAAAAGTCAGTGGTTCTCAATTTTTATAGTCTAACTGGTTATTATACCAACAGTTGAACCAGTGATGCAATAATTAAATAAAAGTAATACTAAATATATATATATATATATATATATAAATGTAAGATATGAAACTACAGTATGCTAGTAAAATGATATAATATGACCGTAAATTAATAATATTATAAATTATAATTTTATAACATGTCAAACATAGGTGGATCTTAATTAAATTAGATATAAGTAAATTCAAAAGTATCTATATTTTCATCTATAATTGTCAACATCTTTATAAAAAAAGTCTCAAATCATATTTTATACATGTGAATTATTTGTTAACATCTTTGATTGACTATCCAACTGGTCCAACCATCCAGTTTGATCCATTTTTCAAAATAGTGAAATGGATGACTAGATGCACAATCACAAGAACTTAAGGGATGATACCTTATTTGTTTTTAGTACATCATTGGCATCCTTCAAAGACATTATCCTAGAGCGCTTATCAAATGATTCTTGGAGGACAATATATTTACCCATATCTTGAAGAATATGATGCACCCACAAATGCCCTTCATGATTGATTACTAGTGATTTCTCAATAAGAACTGTTATTCCAATTTTTAGATAAAGATCTTCATCAAAAGTTTCTAAAATTTGTGTGACATGATCTTTATCCATCCCATTGAAAAAGCAAGCAATATCCAGGAATATAGTCTTTTCCTTATCATCTAATCTGTCAAAACACACATTAAGTATCTTCAATATGTCCTTTGGAGGAACCTTTTAAACTTGGCAAGTGCATCCTCCCATTCCTCTATAGTTCTTCCACAAAGAAGTGAACCTAACACTTTTAGAACCAAAGGAAGGCCTCCAGCATATTCTATCACATTTTTAGAAAGAATCAAGTAATCTTCATTTGGTTGATTTTTTCCCTTAAAAGCATTTTGACAGAAAAGTTGAAGGGATTGGTCATCACTCAAGAATCCGATGTTATACTGAGCAGATACATCATATAATGATAACAAACGCATGTCTCTTGTTGTTAATATAATTCTACTCCCATTGCCAAACCATCCTTGCTCTCGAGCCAAATATTCAAGTTGGCCTATATCACTCACATCATCAAGGACTAGTAGAATTTTTCTATCCTCCAACATGTTTTTTATCAGCTTAATTCCTTCATAACAATCATCCACTTCCACACTTCTTTTATTATTCAAAGAAAAAAGAAGATTTATTTGCAATGAAATCAAATCACCCTTTTCATATTCCTCTCTGATATTATGAAGAAAGCAACAAACCTCAAAATCCTTGTACTTCCAATTATAAAAAGCTCTAGCAAGAGTAGTTTTGCCTAAGCCTCCTGTTCCCCATATTCCTATAGATCAAACTCCTTCCGAATCAATTGCTATGAGTGACTCCAACTCATCTAATTGTGATTCAATTCCAACTAATGCACCAAGATCAAATGGCGATTCATCATGTAACTTAGACTTCATTTCTTTTGCAATGCTTTCAATGAATTCTGTTTCATGCCTGCATAGGAGAATAAAATGATTGCATGATCTTTTTTATTTGACCCAAAAATAGAATGATCATTTAAGTCAATTGAATTATAAAATTTTAAGTTTATCATGAAGCTAAATTTAACTTAGTAGGAATGTGTGGTTGTGCATATATCCTGTGCCGGTTACACTTAATTTTGGGACATGACATTACCCTTATTAAATATACATATTTTAAAAATATATTTTACTCTGCCATTATTTAATAATGGATAAGAAACTTGTGATAAAAAATGCATGACATTGCTTATAAATAAGACAAAATATTCTTCTCTCTCTTATCAATTAATAAGACTAGAAGGAAAAAAGAGAGGGTTTACAAAATTGCCTCCCCATATAATCTATTTGTCCTTATAGCTATTTTACTAAATTTGAATTAAACTACTAGGTGTTGAAAAGATGCATCAATAAGGTATGTATTGATTTGGAAGACTTGATCAAGTAGGGTAAAGATTACATTAATTAATAATGATATTTCAAAATAGAGAGATATTATTAATATTATTAAAATTCAATATCGTTGAAAGAAAATAACCATTTTGATTGAATTCAATTAGGAAACCTAATGCAGCAACAATCAATACAATTACTACAAATACAAACCTATTTTACCAAAGCATAGACCTACAAGTCCAAATCGACCACTAAAATTAATCTTATACAACATTTTAGTGAAAGCTTTTAAGTAACATAACTCTCGAAAAACGGAAAGAAGAAAAGAAAATAAACAAAGCTTGATGTGGTTATTATAGTTTATTTGATATCCACACCCTTATTTTTCCAAAAAAAAAAAAAATAGTGATGATAGTTATCGAGAGAAGTATAGATTACCTATTCCGTGAGTCCCATCCAGATAAGCTAGCAACTTCTTTTAAAACATGCCTCCATCTGTGCACCTTCATTTTGTCTTGTGTAAATCTTTCTTCATGCTTCATGAATGCTTCTTCAAAACTTCCCTTTTGTTTCCTAACATCAGAAGGATCTAAACCATAAAAGATTGGAAATATTTGAAGACCCAACTCTTTTTTCGAATGAAGAATCTTTTGGAGTTCATCCAAACACCACGTTGAAGAAGCATATCCTGGGGAGAGCACAACAATTGCAGAACAAGATTCTTCAATGGCTTGTAGTAAACTTGGGTTGATATATTGTCCCCTTTCAAGTCCTTCTTCATCCCTAAAAGTTCTTAATCCTTTGCGTCTTAAAGAATCATATAAATGATCAGTAAAGCTTGTGCGAGTATCTTCACCTCGAAAACTCAAAAACACATCGTATTTCCGTCTCTTAGTTGATCCGTAAGAGCTTGAAGAACACCCAACTCCATTAACATCAAGTGCCATTGCAAGGATTCAGAGTCTGAACCAAAGTACAAAAGTGCAAAATACAAAATCAGAAAGAATATACACGCGCAAACCAAACAAATTAGGAACTTCAACAAACAAAATGCAGCAATGAGAAACGGATATTACTGAAGGCGAAAGAAAGTGAACAAACTTTTGTAAATATCCCATGACAAATTTTCCCATCTATTTGAGTTTGAAAGCAAAACAGACACACAAAGTCCCAGGACACAAATCAGCAGATAAACTAATTCACTGAAGAAAACAAGATCACGGAAACTGAATGATTCACTCTTACCGCAAGACTCATTCACTCCTGAGCCATAAATTAAACGGAAGCAGAATCTATGTAGATATTCAATCTCGTTAACGTTGGATGTTTAATTCAAAGCGAAATCTCAGAGATCGAAACCATTCAGTTCACAGAAGAAGAAATCTAGAAGAATCTAGAACAGAGCAAGGAAGAAAGTAGAAACCTGAAGGATGAAGTAGTATGAAAAGATTTGTTCGATCTTGAACTGATAATAATTCTCTCAAGTCTCAACAAGCAGTCGCGAGATCAACTGGAAGGCCAAGTGCCCAAGTCTTCTCTCAAGTCTTCACGCGTTCTCATTCAAACCGTGTCATGGACAACACTGTTCACTTTTGCAGAATGAAAGGACAGAACCATGCGATGATGCTTTTCATTACTATATGGTGTCTCATTGTTTTTGACCCCCTTTTTTTTCGCCCTTTTTACCTCTACCGTTATCGTTAATGCGTTATTTTGATTTCTTTTTAATGGTGAATCCGTAGCACCACCCTTCTTATTTTTATTGTTCAACTCAAAACATATTCTTCTATATTTATTTGAACTCATGTGTCATATATCTCCACTAAAACCGATAATTTGGCAAGTCTGGAAAATATTAAAGTCAAATTTGAAAGTTTAGAAAAAAAATATATTATTTTAAAATTATTCAAAAGTTAAAATGCAAGATCTCAACATATTTCAAAAATTTGAATGATTCTCTTAAACTGACCATCGATGAGCCAAAACTTCTTTAAAGGACTTCCAAAAATCAGGAAGAAGTAAATAAATTGAGGATCTCTAGGAGAAAATTATAGAAGTACAATGAAAGTAGTGTCCGACCATCATGTACACTGTTTCAGTGGTCATCTACAAAGTCAAAAACATGTTTCTTAAGTCTCCTTATTTTTCAATATATTTAATTTTGCTCTCATGCACCTTATTAATAAATTGATTATTTACTCATTATACATTTATTAGGATTTGTTCAATTTGCAATTAGTTGAAGTACTCTAGTTAACTAGAATTATTGAAAAGAAATTTACAAAAAAATCACAACAAATTAACCACAGCACTTTGACTCATTATGCGAGACTTTAAAAAGAAAATGATTTTTTATCCAAGTAAATTATAATTAAAAATTCAAAGAACGTACAACTTAACATTTATGCAGCTTTCATTTGTAATTTCTAGCACCATTATTTAATTAGTGTGTTTTAGAAGAATCACATCCGAAGACCTCTCAAAAGAATTATTCACAAATAAAAATTAATACATAATTATTTGTTATTAAAATGGTTACAGAGGCTTGTTTTTTCCCCTCAAATGGTGACTTATTATTAGTCTTTGTCTGCAAATAATTCTCTTAAAAATAATGATTTCATGGAATAGATCTAAAAAAACAGAGAGCAAAGTAGGAAATAGGAACCTGAAGGATGAAACAAATAATGTTGAGGACAAGTCTTGTGTTTAGTCTTCAGTCTCTGGTATATGCAAAATCTATGAGCTGGTGTGTGTGTGTGTTTCTATATAAAGATCCAAGGCGTAAGATTCAGTCCAAGTCGTCGAAGTCAGTCCAATCCGAATTGCCCTCCAGCTGTGGCTTACTCTATATAATATTTTGTTGGTACATGTCTTTATATGACATTTTAATATCAAAATGTTGGCACCAAAGAAGAAGGAAAGACTAAATATTTTAATAAAATCTCCAGACTCGGAACTTTTTTTGTCCAATTATTCAGACCTCACACTAATACTTTATTTTAAACCTTTTTAAAGGTCATGTGCATGTTTATGGTTACTGCCATGCCTAGCTATTATATTTCTATATATAAGATATTTTAATTGACATTAAATAAAAGTTGTTTTTAGTTGAGATCACATTAAATTACAATAATTTTTTAATTTTAACCCCAATAATGTTAATTAATAATATTGTGGTGGTGGTGGGTAAGGCTCATAATTAATATATCTTCCCTTCTTTCAATATAAGTGCAAAATTATCTAATTGTTAAAAAATATTATGACATCTCTTATATTTAATAATAAAATAAACTCTTAGGGATGAAGCTCCTGTCCAAACTAGTCTTAAACGAGATTGATAAGCACAGTAGTTTCTTTTTCAGTTCTTCTGATGAGACCGAGAAACTTCACATCCTCTCTTGGGAACAAGTCTGATGAACGTTCAGGAATTAAGAGCCTCCGCCAGCAGAATGAGGCATACATTATGATTTAAAGAGAAGCATAAATAACTTCCAAGCTACAAATATTATAACGTACAACAACATAATTATGGCTAGCTTACATATATGATAAATCAAATGAATGAGTTTAAAAGTTCTAAGTTTGTACATTCACCATTTACAATTTTTTTTTAAATAGGTACCTGTTGATAAAGTTTCATGAGGATTCGTTGCTTTTTATAAGTATAGATAAATATTTTTCATAGATGTAGCAATGCATTGACAAAACATAATAACAAAGATTGAATATAAAATTATTTGAATTTTTTATTATAAAGATCGAATCAAAATTATGTGAAATTGTATAGATTAATATTTAATAATACAATTTTTTGAACTGCGTAACAAATGTCCTTGGGCTTGGATCTTATGCCTTCAAACCATTTTTTTTCCCATGAGATGTTTTTTAAATCTATATATATATATATATAATGTAAGATGTAATTGGGCTGCCAATATAATGATGTTAATGTTGCTGATACTATATAATAAAAGAAGCATGAGATATCCATAAACAAAGAAAAATTTTAAAATTAAATACATTATGTTGACTACCAGTACTTGAATCATTTATTCAATTTTCCGCGTTTTGCAAGAGGTGGTGTTTGGATGTGCTCGTCATTTTCGTTTACACTATCATATGTGCGCGTGTGTGCTAACAAAGATAAAAGATATAAATTACATATATTTGTCAAGTTATTGCAAAAAAAGAAGAAGAAGAAGAATATTTATCTTTTTATTTTAAAGTAATATTAACAGTTAATCGATAAAAATAATAATACTTGCAGTTATATTTGTTGACTTTTTTCTTTTGTTTTTTCTGCTACATTGTATAAGAACATTCTGGTGGAAGATCAGAAGATATAATTATAAAATTGAGCTATTGCATGAATATAAATTTATTTTTTCATTAATGTATATATAATATTAACTGATTATGCTTATTAAAAAATAAGTTATGTTTAATTTACCTATGTTAGACTTAACATTTTTTTCAGAGTTTTGTTATCTAAAAATATATTGATTTAATTTTCTACTATTACGATGTGAAGTAGATTCATCTGAATATTTTTTATTCAAATTATATATATTCAATGACGTGTAAAAAATATAATTTTTTTACCAACACGTATAAAATTATATTGAAAATCTAAACTTTAATTAGTAATTGATTTATTTTTAATGAACTCAATTTTCATTTAATTATTTTTGTTAATATGCTAAAATGAAATTTACAACAAAAACTAATCATATAAAACTTAAATTGTCAATATGTGTGTTTAACTTTTAAACATAATCTCGTAAACAAAAATAAACCTCAAAAAACAATTCTAGCCAGATACGTCCTCACACAGTTCCGAAGGCAAACCAGAATGGAATCAAATTTGACCTACGAATTAGAAAACTAAATAAGCGAAAACTTCAACGAGTTGCGAATAGATGATTTGACAGATCTAGACATAAAAATAATGAGTTCAATGAATAGATCTAAAAAAACAAAAAACAGAGAGCTAAGGAGAAAATAGGAACCTGAAGGATGAAATAATAATGTTGAGGCCAGGCCTGCTGTTCAGTCTTCAGTCTCTTGTATGTGCAAAATGTATGAGTGGTGTGTGTTTCTTTCTTTCTATGTGAAGCTCCAAGGCGTAAGATTCGGTCCCAAGTCGTCAAAGTCAGTTGCCATCCAGCTGTGTCTTACTCTCTCTCTATTATATATATATATATATTTTGATGAAATGTCTTTATATGACATTTTAATATAAAAATGTTGGCACCAAAGAACAAGGAAAGACTAAATATGTAATAAAATCTTGAGAATTGGAACTTTTGTCGAATTATTCAGACCTCACACTTAATACGTTATTTTAAATCTTTTTAACGGGGCATCCCAGCAACTCCCTTCCCCTTCTATTTTAATTGTTTAATTTAGAACACATTCTTCTATAACATGGACCCTCCTCTCGAGAAATTTTCTTGGACACTTCGATCTATTTCCTCCTAAACAATATAATCATTATCATTAGAATATATTTTTAAGCAAATTCGAAGTCACATGCATGCAAATGGTGATGCAAAGTGAAACATGAGCTGGACTTAAGTTTTGTCCCGTGTCTTGTCCAGTCTTATTTTGGATTGAGATAGGATGGGACCAAGATCAGGATCGGGACTTCTTGATAAAGCAAACAAAACATGAAAACAAGTTGGATAATACTGTTTTTTAAATTATATAACTTACTAAGTTCAAAATCAAAACAACATGAGTATATAAATTCAATTAAGTCATATTTGTTTATTGGAATAGAACAGAATGAAATTGATTAAAATAATAAAGACAAAAATGAACTAAATTATACATAGTAAGCATGATAAAACTTATTAATATATTATACATATGTGAAATTATCACACCTTTCAAAAATCTCATGAATCATGATTCTCAATCCCATCAACTAATTTACATTTTTCCCTTATGAATGTGGTTACTTGTCCCCTTTGATCATTTTATTTTTACTTTATTTTTTCAATCCATTCCATTTTATTTCATTCTCTTAATCAAATGCGACCTTATTGATTTACAACAACAATTTAAAGTGAAAGAACACAATCACAACAACCACTATTTAATGTCAAGTACACACTAACCATAAATGACTTCCAAGCTTCAAATATTATAACAACAACATAATTCTTGAATGTCATAACTTAAATGGGTAGATGATTATGTAAGAAAGATAAGATAAATAAACACAAAATATATACGTTTGACTCTATTATATTAAATATTAATAAAAGAAAAAATATAATAATGTATTCGACATGGGATGAGATATCCCAATGGTGATCCTATGTCCCGTCTAGAACATATTTTTGTTCCTTCTCACAAAATCCTATCTTGACAAGGACAAGGACAAGCATTAACACTCCTAGTAAATTCTCTATTTGTTATGCCTACTCTTTTTCAAATGAAGGTTTCTCAAGTGCAGGAACTTTCAACTTGAAATTCATCTGGCGCCTACAAATCCCTGAGAAAATGAAAATGCTTCTTTGGCTCATGGCTCATGATGCAGTTCACACTGCACGATTGAGATAAGAAGAGGTCTCACGTTAATTCAGAATAAATATAATATTTAATTTATTTAAAACATCCTTATTAATTATACTTAAATGAAATATAATAAAATAAGGAT